AWAAAGCAGAAGTAAAGCAGTTGTGCTAGCAGCAGTAAAGCACCTTCCCTACCCTCTCCAGCTGTCAGTCTCAACTATGCATATTTGAAAGCCATCTGGCACATACCCTGACAGCCAGTTTAAATCATTTCATGTTTCATACAACCTCACCAGAACGAGGCTGCTACACACTGCTCTAATTTAAGTAATAATTTGCACCGTATTCCATAGGCTTCATGAAGTTCTGCACCAGCTGCATTCCCAAGTGAAGAAAAACTGGCATATCCAAGCAATGTAAAGCAATTTGAAGTGCAATATCAACACTGATAGCAGTAGCACTTCGATGGAAGTGAAAAAAACTCCTGTTCAAGACACATATTAAGATCCTGATCTACTCTCTACTATTATCTACATAACCAGAAGAGATTAAAAAATACCACCCTTTCTCAGACAGTTTAAGGGCTAACCATATCTGCCATCTTTTCTACACATTTCTTGTTACTACTCAGTCTTATCTATGCAAAAACATCAGAAAGCAAGTCTGGATGCACAACACAACAAGCACATTTTCTTTTCCTCCACTGTAGTATCAGAAACCACCTAGGCATATAGTCTGTGTCTTAACCTAAGTATATTTTCTGGAGCACCAGTTAGTTGAAGGCCGACACTCAAACCACTGTCCCATCTAYTGTCAGAACAATAACTTCAAGTTTTCCTGTGGGAAAAGATTAATACTCTCCAGGGAATGGCTCACATGACTTCTGCACAAAGAGGAACACTCCCACACCACTAATACAAAGATTCATGTTGCTTCTCTTGTGTGAGCCTCAAGGTCTTCTCACCTTGAACAGACCAGTTTGTGCACCAAGATTGTATAACAAATCATCTAGTGGTGTGCTGAGTAGATGGAAAGGTGCAAAGATGCACAAAGGAGGGGGGAATTATTGAGATTAGTCTAAGACAGGAGGGAAATAAAAGTAGCCATGAGGCCACCTCACCCAGCCCATGAAACTTCGTACTCACATTGACAAGCCAAGCAAGTGTCAATGATGCTCACTCAGTCTCTTGGATTATGCTGATCAACCAGCAGCCTCAGAAGGCCATCAAAAACATCTGACATGACTTTGAAACATTAAAAAAGCATCAAACATTTTAACAGAAGTGACTCACAAATCATTTTATGGCAACATATAAGACTCTATCTCTTAAAACAACTGCTATTCAAAACCAAACGTTTTCCAAGCTTTTGGACAGTCACAGTCACCACTTTCAACTCTTTAGGAAACTCTACAAGTATTCTTAAAAAAAAAGTGTGCTGTAGCTACAAGACTTCTTTTTTGCTGGTGGCTAAGCTCCTTATTTCAACAAAGACCGTATCTCTATGGTTATTTCTTTCTACAGTGGAAAAATTTCAAACACAGCCAGTTATTCTTCCTCCTATCCCCATATGGAGCCACCAGTAGTTTTGATTTATTTAAAATCCAGACAGAAGCCAAAATACACACCACAAGCAACACATGCTTGTATTTGCAGAGACACAGGGGCAATCCCAAAAGAGTCTCACAGACAAGCCACCAGTCACTGGTCAAATAACAAGTGCAAAAAAAGTTATGCAATCTCTACATAAGGGCACATCTGTAACACTACAGTGAAGAGCACATGTTTTTCCTTCCAGTGGTGTATGTAAAGTAAAGGTGCTTAAGTCCTTCTTCGATTCAATACCTTAAAATTAATATTGAGTTTTAATGAAGATATAAGCAGAAAAAGAGCACACTACTATGATCCTTGGGGTTGAGTCCCAGAGGTTAGACAGTTGCTTAAGCAGAGTGGGCTGAATCATCTTTCCTGCCTTGAGCTGGGGTTTATTGCTATCAACTATGCAGAGTATGGTACATCCTGGGCCTTCTCTGACCAGACACTGTACACCAAGTGGTGAGAATCCAATAGCGTTGTTTTCCCTGCTGCTACCTTATCTTTCTGTGAATATAAGGGCACAAGTAAGGGTAGTAGATTACAAGCGATAGGCYCCCAGAAGTGTGTTTTAAGAACATGGTGTTTCCTGTGCTTACTGGGAAGTAAGGAGACATCCAGCTCATATGCAATATTAAAAAAAAGAGACATACAAACCACTGAAATCCACTGTAAATAGGAGGCCATGGAGAAACTTACCTAACTCCCTTCCTCCAAAGCAGCATCAGATAATAGCCAGTAATAAACCAGGACTAGCCCTAGTGATGGGACTGCTTATGCTGTAAGTGGCAGAACCAGCCAGACTTAGTGGCCAGCACCAAAATCTATCAACAGTTAACCTCAAAATGCATCCATGAACTCTTTAACTGCACAGTACAGTTGTAAACACCACTAAGGAGGAATATATTCTCTTTCTAAGTCCATTCCCCTTCAAAGGCAAGGCAGATGTTATTTGTCTGCCTTATAAGAGCAATTACATCTTATCTCTTACTGGACAAAAAAAATTGTATTTATTTTCAGAGCTATTTCTGACTTTTTTCTTGTAAATGCCTCCTACATTTCCCTTAGATTCCTTCTCCCACCAGACCTTTGAAATACCAATGGAGAAAGCCTCATACCTACTTCGCAATTCACCAAAATTAAACTAATAACACCTCCTGCTGTCATGTGTCAGTTAGAGTAAGATTTATAAGTGACAGCAGAAATAATTTTCATAACTTTTACTGGAATATGAATAGCTTGAACAGACAGATCCTTTAAAGATACTGCTCATCTCAAGTGAAATCTGTCATGAAATATAGAAATTCATTTTCATTAAATGTATTTGAAAGCCTGGTATCTTAAAAATAAAAGACAAACTGGACAATACCATGTATTTGTGCTGAAATTGCCTTCAGTGTGAACAGGTGCAACTGTTGCAAGATGGGTTAGTCTAATATTTTGCCTGTTGATTTTATTGCACGTCACCTCCTGGAAATCCTCCTTCTATAATGCTTATTATCACTGCTTACATCTTCCGTATGAAACTTGAAGACATTTTTATTTTGTATATGCAGTAACAGACATTTGGGAGGCTTCGTGAACAAAAAAAAAAAATCTTATTTTATCACTCTCCTGTTCAATTAATGAACATGGTCTTTTCAGCTAATTCAAGCCTAAGTTAGGAGAACACTAACATTAGTTATTGAAAAGTGAAGGGATCCAATCTTTATAAAAGCAAGCTATTTTGAACTAAATTAGTAATACTTAATGCTTATGAGAAATACCCATCCTCTATATAAAGCATCATAGGTTCCATCTTATTTTTCAAACCAGAAACAGTATTACATCATCTCTGCTGCCTTCCTTGTACTTCAATCTGTTCAACTTTGCAAGAAGAAATGAAAATGTCTTCAGAGAAAATTTAATAGATTTGAATAAAAACCCAAGACCTACTTGAGACTGCTGCATACACTCTACAAAGCCAGTAGGCAGAGCTAATCCTAGCTTTATACACAATACTGCAGCTCCTAGATTTTATCTAGTTTTTAATTAAAATACTCTATAAAGATCCATATCTCCTGAACTGCAACTTTTTAACAAGTATTATTATTATTACTCATTTTAAGACAAGTAGAGAATACTAGAGAATACAAATTTATGACTATAACTGTAATTTTATTGATCCTTTTATAATAAAGTAAGCATGCATTTCTATAACAAAGGTATCTTACAGATTCAAGCAGTTTTCCTTATTTCTCAAATGATATTTACTTTTAAATGCCCAGGACTAATCATAGTTGTTTGTTATTCCGCAACAAATTTTGCTAACTGAAACATGACTTCAACTCTGAGCAAAATGCGAATCCCTTGCTGTACTAGGGTTATTTTATCTTTAAAAACAGAGAACATATATTAAAATAAACAGTTTAAACACTGAAAGACATTACTGAGGTCACATTTCAGTGGTAAAGAATGCCATTAATATTTAGTCTACCTTAATGGAAAAAAATCGAGTTAGGAGATACTTCAGGTTATCTTGTCCACCCTCATGTCAAGGGAGACTTGCTTGCTATGGCATGTTATTGACTGTTTCGCCATGTCCATTTTGAACTTATCAGTTAATAGTAGGTTCCCAGCTCTAAAATCTTTAATGCTGATGAAGCTAATTCTTCCAAAGCATCTGTTTTTGAGGTGGCTTTATTTAGCAGACCCAGCCTATGTTCTTCCTTCTTAGTATCACCTTGTGATTCTCTCCCATTTATCGTATTCTTCTTTCAAAAAAAAAAAAGTTAAAAAAAATAGAAGATAGTAGTAATTACTAGAATTTTGTGCCTTTCCTACAGAATGCTTTCAAGACTCTCAATTTCCTATTAAGCTTTCCACAACACAGTTTAGAGGTTCACAATTTTAACAGCTGACGGAAGTTCTCTATATTGTGGTCCACAACAGAGTGACTTTCTAAACAAGATTCTAAGTTTAGACTGCAGTGGATTTTAACTTGCAGGACTACCCCCGTATTATTAGATGAATATTTATTACTGGAATGGGGATCCTTTCCTTACACCATTTTCTATTGTCATGCCACTGTGTGTAAGAACCGATACACGGTTTACTCAACGCTAATGTGACAGAAGTCTTGTTTTCTGCTTTAAATTCCCAAACACATTTGTTTAATATGCAATAGTAACAGTATGTGTGCATGCAAAGAGCATATCCCCAATTCCCTTTAAAATCAGTTTTGATTTGTGTAATTTTAATTATCCACGTGGAAAATAACGTTTTTCTTTGAGTGGATAGAAGGAATAATGTTGCAATTTAGCAATTTTAGCTACATAGGAACGCTAATTGGGAAAACCTGCAAGGGTCTGTACACAACACAGGATTCACGTTTCCTTCAACTAACCCATCCTGAGTCGGTTACCATAATCAACACTAGGAGCAGAAATAAACCGAACCACACACAATGATGCTGTTCCAGACCAAAAATTTCACATGGAAGTGTATGAGTTTTTTTCCTCACTGAATTCAGTGACCACTTTTTCCACTGACACCGAGAGTTTCCATTCATTATGCCGTAAGTATTAAAGTCCTAGTACACTGGAAGCCATTCCTGCCAGAAGAGCCAATAGTTCAAAGATACACAAATTTACTTCTATTGGAATTCACATTTTGTGGTGTTTGGAAGAAATCCTTGAAAAGTGGCAACAAACGGGGGACAAAATGGCCATGGCTATAGCTAGAGCTACCACCTTCTGAACACACTGTATCGTGAACCAAGGAACTGGCAAGTTATCGAACCAACACCTTTTCAAGCACCTAAACTCTTTATTTTAACTCAAATTCATTATAACTCGGGAATGCTTTAGAGATGCAGCATCTTTTTTTACACGCGGTRGTTTTCCAAAGGCACACTCACTTCATTCCCCAGGAAGTCAAGATTGCCAACCACTGATGACGGAAGATATTTCACTAGTATAGTGGGCTGGGAGTTTGATTTTTAAGAAGGAACATGATTTAAATAGTCACCTAGCTAGTCACCCCTGAAGCACTGTGAGGCGAGACACCAGCACACATTCTCACAACGACGGTTTCAGACACAGCACAAGGTACTATCTCCAGTTTCTTCTGCACAGAGCTTGAGACGAAAGCCTCAGCAACTGAAGTTACAAATTTAAGAATGCTGTATATAACAGATATTTAAGGATTTATGTAGTGTGGATCTTAAAATGACTAGGAAAAAACGGCCCCCGAAATTTTGTTACTGTGCATGTCCCCTGTCACCACCTGCTACAGTTTAATAAATCAAACGTAAAAAATATTTATGTGGAGGGTGGAACACGCCAGCACTGCATAAATTCCTATTACAGCTGTACTAATACATAGCCCCTCAGGCTGAGAACCCCGGGACAGACTCACCCACGGCTCTCGCTTTCCAGAGCTGCTCCGGGCTCAGGCTGAGTCCCCTCCTGCCCCTGAYAGAATACCTCTCGTACCGCCGCTCTAGTGGAAACGCTTTCGGGGACCAGAGACCACCTCTGTTCCACAGCTTTTCATGAGATCTTCCTCTCATAATCCCAAATCCTTCCGAACTCAGCCTTTACCGACAGACCCAGGGGCTCGGCAGGAAGCCCGGGCGGACGGCGGCGCGGACACACACCCCACTCCGCCCCACCGCGAGCGCTGCCTCCCGCTCTCGGCAGTGGCCAGCCATCCCCGGCGAAGGCTCCAGCCCGCTCCCAAACTCACGTGGTGCGACAGCCAAAGGTTACACGCATCGCCGGGACGAGGATGACACCGCCGTTAGAGGCGCTTCCCACCGCGGAGCGGCCCCGCGCGGGGCCAGGCTCACCAGCGGCGAAATGCCCGCGAGGTCTTCGCTCTCCCGGCACCCGGAGTGGTGCCGCATCCCTTCCTCGTCCGCACCGGTCGATGAGSAGCTCGGCCAGGCATCGATAAATCAAAGCAGCCCGCCCGCTCCGACGGAAAGCTGCGTACGACTCAGCCGCGGCCAAAACCACCGCCCTGGGGGCGCGGCGGGCGGGCGAGGGAGGTAGGGAGGCGGTGGGATAGGCTGCGCGGGTGCGGGTGCCGAGCTCCCAGCCCCCGCGGGGCGGCGAAGTGCCCGGGATGTCGGTGTCGTGCTGTCGCAGCCGGCTAATCCCGGCTACTTAACCCGGCGGGCGGCGGGAGCTGAGCACCACCTTAATCCACGGCGTGTGCACGCCCGCCCGCCGGGAGCCGCGGGGCCGTGGCGTGCCGGCCGTGTCCAGCCGCGGGATCCCCGACGGTGCGGCGGTGCGCACCCGCGGCGGCTCAGCCCCGCATCTGCTGCCCTCAAGGTCACGCCGCGCCCCGGCTGCACGGTGGCGACCAGGTGCACGGTCCGATTACCTGCGGGGAGAACCGGCAAAAGCCCGGGAGCGCGGCACTAAGCCCCTCCGGCCGCGCCGCCCCCCCGAGCGAGCCCGGCCACGGCCCGCAGCCCCGCGGCGGGAGCGGAACAACGCTGCACCTGCCGCCACGCTGCCGCCCGCCCCGGTCGGCCGGCCGGGAGGAGAACCGCTCCGAGCGGCCGCCGCGCTTACCTCGGCGCCGTGGGGCCGCAGGAGCCTTCAGCCGGGGGCCAGGACGAGGCGCCCGTGAACCTGACGCCGCCCGCCCGCTCGCTCTCTCGCTCGCCGAGCGCACAAGGTCCCCGCGCTCCCCGCCCTGCCCACGGCCGGCCGGCCCCGCCGCGCCGCCCCCGCCCTGCGGCCGCGCGAGGAGGGCGGGAGAGGGGGCGGGGGGGTGAAGCGGCGACCGAATTGGGGAGGGAAGGAGGGAGGGAGGGGGCACCGGCGCGGGGAGAGTCGGGGGAGGAGAAGGAAGGAGGGAGGGAGCGGGGGGGGGGGGGGGGGCGCGGACCGCCCGCCCCGCCCCCGTCGCCTCACCGGCAGGAATCGGCGATTCGCCCTCCTCGCGGGTGCTCCCACCGCCGCCGCCGCTTCCCGGGGCCCTCCCGCCTCCTTTCCCCCTCAAGCACAGGACAGCGCCGAGCGCGCCGCCGAGCCCCTGCGCCGCAGAGCAACCGCTACCGGAGCCGGGCGCCACCGGGCAGGGCGGGGCGGGGCGGAGCGGAACGCAGAGATCCGCCCGCCTCCCGCCTCCGCCCGCCCGCCGCGGTCACTCACTTGCCCGCGCCCGCTGCCCCCTCCTCTCGCGGCGCCGCGGCCGCCGGTCCCCGCCGCCTCCCTCGCCGCCTGCGGAGCGCGGGCCACGTGACGGGGCCCCTCGCTCGGCCGAAGAAGGGGGGTCTCGACGTGCGGAGTCTTCAATGGGGGAGGCGGAGGCGGGGCCCCGGTAGGCACGACGCCTGCGGGGGCGGGGCCCCGCGCTGCTGCCCGCCCGCCGCCGCCGCCACTGGCGGGCGGGAGGCTGACGCGCTTGTTTCCATGACGTCGGCAGGCGGGGCCGCGGCGTTTGATGGAGCCCGGCGGGCTTCGGGGGTCGGTGACTTTGCCACGAGCGGCTCCCGCGGGGCGGGGCGGGGGCGGGGCGAGGCGGGATGTTGCGTCCCTCCTCCCGTGGGTCCCGGGCCGCCGCCAGCGAGTACGCGGGTTAGCCTTGAAGGGGCGGGGATGCCCCGGCGGCGGGAGAAGCCGCGGTCCCAGGAGGGAAAGGCGGCCACCGTCCGGACCCGAGCGCATCGGTCGCCTTGGTGGGCCGGAGCCGTGCGGGGGGCCGGTGCCGTCCCGGGGGCGGGGGCGACGCCATCGGGGGCGGCGCCCTAAGGGACCGTCGGACCGCCCCAGGGGGCACGGGGGCGGCCTGCGGTGCCGTGCCCGCCGTGCCGTGCCGTGCCGTGCTGTGCCCGCCGGGCCCGGGGCGGTGTCGCCCCACGGCCTCCCCGTCCCGAGAGCAGCCGGTGGGAGCCGCGTTGGCGGCTGCTGAGCAGCAAGCGCGGGGAGCACGGCGGAGCCTGGACGGGGCCCTGTTATGTCTGCTGCGGTGCGCTGCGGCAGAAGGTCCCTATTKCGTGGGGACGCTGGCGGGTCCGGAGCGGCAGGAACGAGCGTGTCGCTCGCTGCCGGTGGTGGGGATTAGGGAGCTCCAGATCCAGCCTCCTGTCAGGCGTGTCCGCCTCTTGGGGTACCCTGACAGCTCTCCCAGGAGAACGGGGATGGTGTGGGGGCCGCAGGTGTTCAGTGCTTCCCGGTCTCCAGCCGAARGGTCTTCGATTGGAGAAAGAAAAACAAATGAACGTTTGAGCCCAAATGAGTTGTCCGGGAAGACGCTGGAAGTGAATAATAGCACTGGGAATTAAACTGGAAATGAAAACCCTGATTTCAGTTCTCTTCCAGTGCAGTAGATCGATCTCCCACCGCCCCCCCCATGAAAAAATACCCATCCATAAACCGTATGTCATTCTATAACAGCTTTGTGTGCGTGTTTTAGCTTTGTTTTGACATCCTCCCTTCTCTGTTGGACATCTCGCTGGGGTGACTGGCCAGCTGTGTCCCAGGCTGTCAGGTTCTTTGAGCCTGCTATAAATATCCTGTTTCACCTTCGGTATCGTTCAAATCCCAGTGCTGSAAAGAAAATGAATGGAGAAGCTTATGCAGCTTTACTGTCGCAGACCAGAGATGATGCAGAGCCGAGAGAGTTAAAGCAACAGGATGAAGTCAGCACAAACCCCCGCAAGGACTGTCAAATAAATAAATCATCCTAACTACGCTATTATTATGGCTTGCCTGAGGTTCATTGTCTCTTTCTTTCTTACCTGAATGTCTGTTACATTTTTCTCCTTGTTCAAGAGAAGCAATCAAAAGAGACTGTGAGCAGTAAATGGCTCCTGACCATTTTGGATGTTGCTAAAAATACCTCTCCATATCTAGAGGTCAATTGAAAAATCAAAATAATGAGATAAGCAATCCTTCAGATTGCTGTTCTGTTATGTTGAAGAGATTTCTTGCATTTCTTCCCAGAAGGAGAATATAAAACTATCTGAACATGCATAAAACAAATTCTCTTGCAGTCTGTTTACAGTTCAGCAACCTCCTCTGCACTGATGGCTGTAGCTCTGTGAGGTATCCTTCCCCAGGCACTTGGAAATTGCATTTCTCAATACAGCTTTATAAGACTGGCAGATGTGTTCTGCACAGTTCTGTCATATCTCCTAGCTCTCAGGCAGATAAAATGAGCTTTGATACAGCTAAGAAGGASGTGTTTAAAACACTGCAGTTTGGGTACATATTTGTACCTGCTTCCGTTTGTCTTGAGGGAAGGTAGGTAKGTTGTGCTTCATTTCTTTTACTATGAAATGGGAATAATGTCCTATTTTCTTCACAGGAAAGAAGCAAAGGTAGGAGGGGTTCATATCATTATCTTTTATGGTAGAATTCTCTAAGTGGATACATTTTTCAAGGCACGCAATAGTCAACGTTCCTCTTGTGTTGATATGGAGGGATAGCATAAAAACATGCAACACATTGACTAAAAATAAGGAGAAATTTCTTATATATCCACAGACCCTTCTCCCTGAGGATTTAAAAATTTCCAAAGTCATCTCAATCTCCAACACACTTCATGGGTTTTTTTGTTTATTTGGGTTCTGTTGTTTGTTGTTGTTGTTGTTTGTTTCCATTGCTGGTTTGGTTTGGGGTTTTTTGGGGGGGGGTGCGGGATTGGTGGTTTTTTGGGGGCTTTTTTTTGGGCCTTTTTTCTGATAATCAATTATATGTCTTAATCTTTAGAAACAGCATGAACACCTAAGGCATATAATTGACTAACAAAATACATAATAATTACAATCCATGTAATATAGGTCACCAATGGTATAAGGCAAGAAAAAACAACATGCACAGACGAATACTTCTGGGGAGCTTTCATTTAACTTTTGAGGAAACAGTACCATTTCAGGAAAGTTCAGAGTGATTAGTAGACAATTCCAAAAGGCCAGATTTGACAAATCAGTACCAGTACCTCAACTCATTCCATGACCARCACTTTAACAACACAAGCATCATCCATTTTAATAGAGACAAGAAATGTGTCACAGAAAGTTTAAGTGGATTGCCTGTATCTGATCTACTTACCACAAGACTTTTAACATAAAGAGTAAGAATTAGAGTATTTGGAKTGTTACAATATTGGGTGAAAAATTGATAAGGTGACCAAGGTCTGAGTGCACACCTCACCATCCTGTAGCAACTAGGGGACATTTGAAAAAATTTTGTGATGGGCTTGATCTGAGAAGAGAAGATATAAAACAGGCTTTTCACAGTTCGTGTATACATCTTTAACTTTTTTGAAACTGTTTCCTTGACTATTCTGCTAGTGCTGATCCTGTTCTAACTCAGTCAATTTATTGAATTGGGTGAAAGTGGAGAGTACAGACTAAGCATGAGAAGTTAGGAGAATGTTTGTGTGTGAGCAAGRAATTATGAATGTCTAAAGTTTCCAGGGGTTTTGCAAAACCAAATGTTTCTGTACCAGGTACACTTCTCCCTACAGTCAAACAGTAGTTGTCTTTCTCATATGAGTACCTCTGTCTGACCAGCCTCTTCGGTCCACGACGGAGATTCCTCTTTTCCATGCCCCTGGCTGATATCCTGAGCTCATGCCTGACAGGCCCTGGAGGCTGCATCTTGTGATTGTTCCAGTATCCTGCATCCTAAAAGATTAATCTGTTGCCTAAAAGACTTAACAGCCATCTAGATAGGCAAACAATAGGCCACTCACTCATCTTGTAGGTGGCACAATGAGCAAATTGCTCTATCGTTCCACCCATGCAGCCTTTTGTGTAACAAAACAGTATCACCATTTCATCCTGAAATCGTCCACCCCACCCTTAGAAAAGAGGCCTATCTATAAACATTTGCATTTTTATCAGCTCAATACTCTTGACTGTTCAGGATTTTAGGATTTGTGCATGATGTGCTTCCCCTTGAGAATGCATAATTTCAAATAGTTGATTGTTTTTTCTCGATTCAGTTTCCCTCCCAACTATTTTGGATTAATTTTTTTTGTTTGTTTTTTTGTTTTGTTTTTTTTTAACTTTCAGTTTTATGTTCAGCTGCGATACTGCAGGATCGGGGGAGCAAAAGGTTAAAACAATAAACAAAGTAATGTGAGGAGTAACAGTTATTGCACAAATCAGTTTTCATGAACATTGTACATAAAATGCATCAGAAAAAAAATACATTGGACTTCACGTGTTGTCTGTTTCTTCTTCTTCACACGCWCTTTTCAGGCACCATTGCACCACAGCAACTTTACAGTCCCAGAGCACATGAAAGTGTGGAAAYGTCTTTCATGAACAAGGGCACAATGTTCACATGCAAAGAAAAAACAAGACAACAAAGCAACAGTCGTGGAATTGATGGAGAATTTGACCAATTAAAGGAATTCAATCAGGCATAAGAGAAAAGAGAAAAACAGAGTCAGGTGGGATAGCAATAACTTACAGATCTATTAAGAAAAAGAAAAAAAAAAAAAACCAAAACATGTGGGAAGCTTTCATGATAAAACATAAATCAACAGAACCAAGTATGGATGGTGATGACGTAGCATGACCATGGGTGACTCTCAGAAAGTGAGAAATTACTGGTGAATTGATATGCTGTCACTCTGTAAATAACTGTTAAAAAATACAGTCAGTGAGTCCAGCTACTTCCATGAAAGTGACTTTTCTCACGTGGCACTTCCCCGATTTGGAGTTGATACTTTCTCCCCCATGGCAAATTCATTCTTGAGTTCCTAAGGGATGGCCAAAGTTTCAAACAAGGCTGTCCTGCAAACAGTTTCCTCCAGTTCACTAGAAGTGTTTCTTAAAAATAACCTACTGTTTCCATTTCCCGGGAGCTGTTGTCAGATATCAACTCTCAGTGCATGTCCTTGGTACAGACATGCATTTCTCATGCAGCTCACCTACCACCTCAAGAGTCAAAATGTTGGAGTGTCCATTATACTTACCAAACTATAAAAGTCCTTTTGAGGTGTCATGGTATGTGCAGTTCTGGATTGAAATAAAAAGTTTCGTTCATTAGGTTTATGATACTGTGGGTGCTTTTAGATGTGTTGCTTTTTAAGGCTTCTCTGGTGAATTTGTCTGATGAAGTTGTG